TGAGCGAGGTGAGCTCTCGAGGCATCCACGGAACTGTGGCATGCCCGAGCTTATGTTACAGGCGCGCTTCTAGACCCACTTCTCTTTACCACTCCAGGAAATCTGTGCATCTCCCCATTTAAAGATTATATACTGAATACCATACAATGGAGAGAAAAAGATAGATGACAAAGCTCCACCCTTAAGAAGTTTACTGTTTAAATTCCACCAAAGGAGTTAGAATGAAAGCCGGAGGAAACCGAGCTCCCCTTTTCATTCCTTGTAGAGAGATTCTGGGCAAACCCATCTTGTCTCCTGGCTAGAAAAAGAGACTTTCCTCTCCCCAGGTCCAGGGGGCCTGGCAAAGCCCTACATTCCTCCTGAGCTGTGAATTCTGAGTACGCTTTGGTTTCTTCAATTTCCGTAAGCAACGTCGCAGTATCTGGGCCACCCCGAGTTCTCTGGAGTTCAATGATGAGGTTAAGATAGAGTGGGAAACTACCACAAGCCCTGGACCAGGCGTTTATGGTGCTAGGGAATGACTAAGAGTCCCAGGATGGAGGGTTAGACGGCAGAGGGCAGCAAGGTCCCCAACATCGCTCCAGTCCATCGCCAGACTGGAGAGCAGGATGGTATCAGAAGGCTTCTTAAGAGCATGTGCCTGCATCTGCTGGCGCACTAGACGGCCCCCACGAGAGAGCTTGAGTGGGAAACAGGCATGGTACGCTCTGGTGTGAGTGGCGCTGCCCACCCTAGGAGGTCTCCGGGTCCATAGCAGCAGGGCCTACAGCCAGACACCCTCTGTGTTTGCTGGGACAGGGAGATGGCGTAGTCCTCAAGCAGGTGTTCGCATTGCCAGAGGAAGGACTGTGTACCTGTGTGTGCCTCCGTGGAGGCTGGCGCAGCAGCGTGACCCGGGAGTGCCTTATGAATGAAGGAGGGGCTGAGCTGGCCACCCCGACATGGCAGGGGCAGGGGCCATTAGAGAGCTGGCTGCAAGGCAGACCAGACTCAGAACCCACCTGAAAGGCAATCATCAGGACAATATGGTAACCCTCGCTTCCATGGTCTTCGGATGAGATCAAGAAATTCACAGGCCATGCCTCTGCTACCCTTGCAGGAGGGAACAATACTGAGCATTCCATATTTTCCATCTGCTGCAGAATCCTTTCAAAATGACATCTAGAGGTGGGAAGGGGGGACCCCAGACAGGTCTCTCTTCTACCCCGGATTACTTTTCAGCTACAGATTAGAGAAGCAGCATGGGGCTAGGCACAGGTCTGCCTTGTCCCCCCTTGAGCTTCCAGCTCTCATACCTGCCCTCACCCTCCTGGTATGTGGGTTTTTTCCAGTCCTCACCCGTCCATCCCCCTGACTCCTGAAATGCGTGCTGCAGATACACAGAAGGAGAGGATTGGGGTAGCTGTCAGAGAAGCCAGGGAGGGCAGCACCTAAGTCCCAGATCTGAAAATTGCTTGCAGTCCCCAGAAACCAGCGCTGGGGACATGTTGCGTGGCCATCAGTCTACTCCGCCATCTACTGGCCATGAGAGGTATTGGCCTGCTTGTGGAACAGCCTCTAGAGCCTCGGGCACTTACAACTTCCCTTGCTGTTCGAGGGCAGGGCAACTTCACCAGGAAGTCCTCCCTTTCATCCACCTAAATCCCCTCTGCAACCTTGGTCCATTTTCTCTCGATGAAAGATCACAGGAGCCACCTGTCTACGTGTGCCCGCTTGTCTTATCTAAAACGTAAACCCTGCCCAAACTGAAAGCCTATTTATGACTTGGCCAGGAAGCTGCTGAGTAGGGCTCGCAGGCTCTGGCATTCCAACTCTGGTCTTACTTTCCAGCCTTTTAATCTCTGTAGCTCTGCATGGGGTTTTGCTACATTTCTGCGGTCTCTGCAGCCTGCAGGGGACCACAAAACCCTGATGAGTATCTTTGCTACTCCACTGTCCTGCTCTCTGTGTAACAGGTCCCACGGGGTCACGTGGCACCAAAACCGGGAGGCACATGAAAACTTTAAGCCTGACCTTCAGAAGCAGCCAAAAAGCCTGTGAACTGGGGAAAGCATGCCCTCAGGAACCCTACCTCTGTGACCCTAGGGAAGGAGAGAGGGTTTGCAGAAGTGCTTTGAGTTCCTTAAGGAACATACAAGAACATATGGGAATCAACACCGTTTTCCAGTATCAACATGTGCTTAGCCCCAAGGCCAGAACAGTTTCAGAGAAAAGACTAAGGTTAAAGAAATTTGCTCCCAAGTTCACTGAGCCCCTGTGAACAGCCCCTTCCTCCTCCCAGGAAGAGTGAATCAAGGTTAAGGGCAGCTCACAGCATTTCTTAGAAAAGGTCCCAGAAGAGGGAGGGTCTTGAGAAGAGCTGTCAGTACACGGTGTGCAGTGAGCCAGCATGCCTCCATCCACGTCCACTAAGGTCAGAGAGAGAAGCCTCGTGAAAAGTGGCATCACATCTGGTGGCGGAGGGCATGACACCCTCTGACCAGATGTCTTTAAGAACTAGACAGAGTACTCTGAGACACATTCATGTCTTTGTTCCTGCTTGGACACAGGGAGATGGACCTAACGGTCTAGTGGAAGGATTCCAGGAGCTGGTACTGTCTGCCACTGGGAGTAAGCACCTTCCTGGGATCTCCCGGTGGAAGAGGGAACCCCTAGAGCCCAGCCACACAGGTGCCCCTGAGGACAATTTACTGGCCCTCCAGCATCAGCTGAAGCAGCCTCTAGAGTTGCCGTCCAGCCCTCTCACAGGTGCTGGTCAGCTCCCGGCCCTCCCACCCGTCTTGCCTCACTTCATCTGCTTACAATCTCGATTAGGGAAAGGGCGTGACCACCCACCCCCAGAATGCCCCCCCACCTTTCAGTGGCAACCATCTCTTGTCCTCTCTCCTACCAGTGGCCAACCGCTTTTTCAGGGTCAGGATGCTTGGTGATGCCCAGAGAGGTGGAGTGAGGCATCTCAGATCACCCAGCAAGATAGGCTCAGCCACCCTTCTGAGCCACAGTCAGCTTTTCCTCTCCACGCACCTCTCCCCGAGACCTGAGCCTCAAATTTGGGCCTATGTACTAGATCACAGAGCCCTAGTCTTTCGGTTTGTCCAGAGTACCCCAAGCAGGCTCTGCTCCCCTCTGCACGCCACCCCATGCTAGCTTGTCCCACAATCAAGGAAAGTTGCTTCACTCCAAACATCCCTCCTTTAGCTAACCCTAGAAGGCTCTCCTCTGCCTACCAGGCACATCGCCATGCTGGTGAACAATCACAGCAGATTTGGAGAGTCGTAACACAGAGTCAAGCCAAGGTGGGAAGAGGGACAGAAAGACCAAAAGTGGGGGATGGGGACCTGGCACAGAATTTTGCTCAGAGAAAGCCCACCCATTGCTTTGCCGTTTGCTCTCTCCCCATCATCTCCCTCTCCGGTGACTACTTCCCTTCCTCCTCTGTGGAGAAAGATCCAAATCAGCTAACCACCCAAAACACTGCAGACCTCTGGAGGCTTCTTCAGGGCGGGGAACGCCTCTGCCAGGGCCTTAAAGACCGGATACCTATTCAATTAAGTTTGACAAATCCCAAGCCAAGAGACAAACAGGTGCTCAGGGGTTTCCTGCCACCTGCCGTCCGGACCTGGTTAGGCCAGGTCCCCACACATCTCCCTTAACCCACACCTGGTACTTCCCCTGGAGAGAGGGTTCCTGCCCCTGGGGGCACAAAACAGTGTCTTCTCACCAAGATTCTCCTTCCCTGTGCATCTCCTCTCCCTCCTTCCTTGGATCCCTCTCCTTCTATTCTCCATTCCAGGGCCTTGTCACCGTGGTTCCTGGAGAGCCCAGTGACAGTGAGGCGGGTGGAGGAGAGGATTTTCCTTCATCTCATCCAAGTTATTTGGGGTCACTCCAGAGCCCTATTCTTCTCTTTCTAAAATGTGAAAACAAAAGAGGCAGTTAAGATAGGCTGCCACACCCCTGCCTGGCCCACCTTATACGCAGTCTCACTGTGGGCATCCTGGCCACATCTTGCCCACCTGGAAAGAGCAGTGGAGCCCTCCTCACTCTGGATCTGCCGAGGCTGGCGGGGTCAAGGAGCCGAGAAGAGAAAGGGAGCCCCAGAGAAGGGTGCCTGCGAGATAAGAATGTACTGGAAGTCTGTGGATGGAGAAAAGGCCAGGGACTGGAATTATCAGATCAACAAATAAATGAACAAAGTCCTACTTCTTTAAAGGTCATAAGTCAGCTAAGTATAGACTGTCACCAAGTCTGTCCTATATATAACTGCTCTAGTCCCAGCCAGCTGTCCGCCTCTCTTGGCCTGGAGCTGAATTATGTTCAGCCTCCCAGGGCCCAGAACACAGACCCAGCCCTGAGCCAGAGCAGGGCCTTGGGGTTCCAGGTCCCCCACCCACCCGCACTGCACCCCTGCCAGACCCACATGTCTGGCTCTCTCAGGTCCCCTCCTCGCCGTGATGCTCCCCACCACCCTGCTAGTCTGGACCCCAAGGACCCTCCTGCTCCCGGTTTCCCAAAATCTGCGTTCCAACAGTCCTGGAAGCATGAAGACCCCACGTGGGGATAGACATCACCTCCTGTCCAACTGGGCTGTAACCTCTTTTCCTCCATCAGCCTGCATCTCCACTTGGTGCCCTTCTGGGCCACCCCAGCCACTGCCCGGCTACCTTGCCAGCCCCTCGGTGAGCAAGACCCTCACCAGTGCCTGAGCGCCCCCAGGGGCCCCTTCCCTTCCACTATCCCCTTCCTGCCCCCAGCATGTCCTCTCCCTCCTGTCCGACCCGCCCTCTTTGATCAGCCTGGTCTTTTCAACCCCGCAAAGTCTTCCTAGATTTGCTCCACTGGACTCCAATCATGCGACCAACGTCCCAGCTCTTGGACGAGTGCTGACTCCTCCATCCTCTTCCTGCTTCCCCCCAGTCAGGGAAGCTCCTGGAGGGCAGACACCCTCCGAGCCTCAGGCTCTGCCCCAGAGACTGACCCTCTGCCTCCTTCCCCTGCAGAGAGAGACTCCCATGAGCACGAGGAACCGACCACCTCCGAGATGGCAGAGGAGACCTACTCGCCCAAGATCTTCCGGCCCAAGCATACCCGCATCTCCGAGCTGAAGGCTGAGGCCGTGAAGAAGGACCGCAGAAAGAAGCTGACCCAGTCCAAGTTTGTGGGGGGTGCTGAGAACACTGCCCATCCCCGGGTCATCTCTGCCCCTGAGATGAGACAAGAATCTGAGCAGGTGAGTCTCGTGGACTCTGCAGGCTTTGCACACTTCCTACACCCAGGGAGCATGACAGGTACAAAGAGGAGAAATCTTTGGGAGCGACTAGTTGGAACAAAATTCTCCATATATCCTCTGGCCCCCAGTGCCCTGGGCCATGCATTCTGCATGTAGAGATGCTTTCCTCTCAGCTCCTGCCACATCTCTCACCCCCACCGTCTTCACACAGGGCCCCTGCCGTAGACACATGGAAGCTTCCCTGCAGGAGCTCAAAGCCAGCCCCCGCATGGTGCCTCGAGCTGTGTACCTGCCCAACTGTGACCGCAAAGGATTCTACAAGAGAAAGCAGGTACGCCCCCGTCCCACGTGCCCAAGTTCAGAGGGCTCCTGAAAGCGGCACTTGCCAGAAAACCTTTTCCTCTCAATGCTTACGGTTTCTGTCGTTAACAATAGTGTTTCTGGAACCCCCAATATCCACGCGAGTACCCCACTCGGAACTTTCCCCGCTCCCTCCTGTACTGTAGTCTGCTTCTGTTTTAGTGATCCCCCTCACTAACGTGAATTCCTTAAAAAGGAAACTTTATATCACTGTGTCATTCACATGCTATGTATACTGTTTTCTGATGAGCACACACATAAACACATGCACAGAGATAAGGACTGCAAAACAAATGTTCAGAGGCAGCTAATCATTTACGTCCCATTCACAGCCAGGCTACCCTTTGGGCAGCACTGCTGTTGGTTAAACCAGTAATACTTAATATAGTATTAGTATTAGTATTAGTACACTTAGTATTAGTATAGTATTAGTAATACTAATACCTTAGGCTCCCTGTTTCTGGAGCATCGGAATCACCTGGAAAGCTTATCAAAACACTGATTGCTGAGTCCCACCCCAGAGTTTCAGGGATGGGCTCTGAGACTTCTGCATTTCTAACAATTTCCCTCCCAGGTGGCCCTGATGCTCCCTATGGGTTCCCTTCATCTAAGTTGGGGGTCAAGAGCCAGACGCCCTTGAGTCAATTATTGGCCTTCCCCCTTCTGAGCTTCGTCCTCCTTACCTAGTTATTTAATGTCTCTGCCTCCAGTCTCTCATGCAAAATGATAATTGTACCTGCAGTCCTTATGCAATTTTGACGGATTAGGGATTAATCTTTATAAAGCACTTACAGTCTGTACTCTGCAGGAAGTGTTAAGTAGTGTCTGGTACTGTAGAAATGATGCACCATCACCATCATCATCATCAGATCACGTAATCCTATGGAGAATCCCAAGTTGGAGACCCTGGATGGGGGACAGAAAGGAGATTGTAAGAGCTAGCCACTGGCAGACTGTCTAAATGAGCATTCCCCCTGGGGCCGTCCCCCGTGCAGGGGGCATATCAGAACCCTGAGGGTTGGGACAGGGAAGACAAGGAGCAGGGCCAGAACAAGGGCCAGGCAGGAGCAGAGCCCCCCACCCCGGGGAAGGGGGCGGCGGGGTACCGCCATCCTCACTGCCTATCGTTCTCCCCACCTCAGTGCAAGCCTTCCCGTGGCCGCAAACGTGGTATCTGCTGGTGCGTGGACAAGTACGGAATGAAGCTGCCAGGCATGGAGTATGTCGATGGGGACTTTCAGTGCCACACCTTTGACAGCAGCAACGTTGAGTGACGCGTCCCCTCCCCGTCCTTCCCTCACCCCTCCCACCCCCAGCCCCGACTCCAGCCAGCACCTCCCTCCACCCCAGGACGCCACTCATTTCATCTCATTTAAGGGGAAAAAAAAAAAATACATATATCTATCTATTTGAGGAAACTGAGGACCTCGGAATCTCTAGCAAGGTCTCAACTTTCAAACCGGCAACAGCGGAGAAGCAAACAGCTAAGGAGACCCCCCCCCCGCCCCCGAAAATAGTTTTCTTTTTGAGGCAAGTTGAATGGACAGGGAGGGGAAGGGAGGAGGAACACGAGAGAGAGAAGGGAAGAAAGTGAACGTGTAGAGGAGAGGGGGAGACAAACTGAGTTTTGAAGAAGGAAAGAAGAATGTAGATAGGAAGGAAAGATCCCCAGGACCATGGCTGGACCTACCTGTTGTGTCCAGCCCTGGCCTGAGTTGGGAGACGTTTGGGCACCGGAAGGTACGGCCCCAGGTGTGGCATTCAATGGCACCCTTGGAGGTTTTCCTGTCTGGATTAGTCACAGGGGAGAAAGGAAACGACCTGTCTCCACCTCCAGCCAGCAAGTTGAATGGCTTGACCCTGCCCCCGCTCCCCTCTCCCCCAGCAGAGGGTTCTCCCTCCCCAAAACTTATGAAAACTAAAATGCATTCCATTCCTCTCAAAACAAAGCAAATGACTAACCGAGTGCTGTTAGATAGATAGGTTTTCCGGAGCAGAATCACAAAGATGACGTCTGTGTGCGTACTCCAGTCCTAGTGCGGACTTTGGGAAAGCAGTACGCGCCCCGAATGGAGAGACTGCTCTTCCAAGGGGACTAGATCATGCCGACACGGGTGCTTTCAGCCCCTCGTGGCACTCCATTCACTACCAGCATGGCCTCTCTGGGGAAGGATAGGCTGAAATCAAGGCGGCCTCGTACAGACGTCTCTACGAGGCTCCATATAGTCATATGTAAGGCATATACGTCTATGTTCTTTCTTTTTTGCTTTCTTCTTTCCTTTCCTTGAAAGGTTTGCATTGACTTTTCAAAGTAGTTCCTCAGGGGACTCTGAGGAGCTTCCTCATTCCGGGAAAACCAAGAAAACCCATATTCTTCTAACACACCCCATAACTGCCGTTTTTGCCAGCCTCCCAGGAGCTGCAGACGCAAGCCCTCGGTGGGCCACGGTGTTGGACGCCTTCACAATCTCCCGGGTGCAGGTGTGTCCATGGGAAGCACCCAGCCAGGTAGATGAGGGCTGTCCATGGGGCACCCCGCAGCCCCAGCCCCTCTCGAGTTAGCCTTTAGACCCTCCAGAAATCGCTGGCTCTGGGCCCTACACCAAAGGAACACATCAGGTCCAAGTTTGACCCATGGGTCCTGCCCAGCCTTTTCCTTTCAAAGGGGCAGAACCTGCATTTTGAAGCCGGCAGAGTGGGAGAGAGACTGAAATGAGAGATGGCAGCAGGCGGGATGGAAGTGAATGGATTTAAATACAGGGAAATGGAAAAGCGATTGTGCCGGCCAGAGAAGAGGGAGCAGAGGGACAAAGAGGGGAGAATTGCCCCCTTCCAGCTTTTGAGCAAAGCAGCAGAAAGGGGGACAAAGCCAAGAGCAACTTCCTGGGTCCCCACCCTCTAAGCCCTTTGGGATTCCAGAGGACAGAAAGAGGAGAATAGGGGTGCAGTTCCTCAGAGAGAAATGAGGTAGGTTCTAGAACCTAGCCGCTGGCCAGGAGCAACGATCAGCACAGGCCAGCCGTGCCTTTGGAGGGACAAGACTGTGCCCTCGGATGGCCACCTTCTCCCCGTAATGAAGGACTGGGGCCAGAGCCTTTCAAGCTCCTCATCCCCCCCAGGCCAGTGCAGGCTTTCTCCCTGGAGTGGAGGTTGGAAGAAAGGCCCAGGATAAAGGGAGGCCTCAAGGGTGCTGGCATGTGGCAGCCAGATTTTGAACCAGGAGAATTCCCGTTCCCGCTGACTTCGTCAACAAATCAGCAGCAGCATGGCTGTCCTCAGAGGCTGGAGCTAGCCCACCAGGGAAGGGGACTTGGACTCTGGCAAAGGAGACTCCTCCTCGCTGTGAACACAGCTCTCTCTGCTCTTTGCTGATGGTGTGACGCCGTGGAGACCACTTCAACACCGAACTTGGGGCCATGAGGAGGGACAGCAGACAAGCAAGTAGATTTCAGCTGGTGGGAAGCTTGCAGCTACGGAACTTGTGGGGGGTCTCCTGCCGCTGCCACCCCACCCCCACCCCCCGGACAGGACAGTTGGCTGGGACAAAAGAGATGGTCGCTTGTCATAGGACAAAGGGCCCGATGGGGCTGGCAGCCGCCAGGACTTACTTGACCTGCTGCGTCCATATGCCCCATCTCTCTGCACGACTCTCCCCAAACCCCTGACTCACATTTCTGTGTCTTAGGCCAGTATTGTAAACCTTTCCCACTTCACTCTTCTGTTTGCCCATTCTTTCTGTGGATCTCGAACAGTCCTCTAACTGGGATCTGCCAAGTAGATACTGGGGTGCCATTCCCCCTAAGAAAAGACTGAGCCAGGAATTGCATACCCTACCCCACACCCCTCCCAAGACCTGGACCTGTTCCTGAGAGGGGTTCTCTCCTTTCCCCCCTGCTATTTACTGGACTCTGAATGGGTGTCTGCCCCTTCCTTCAGCTCTTTGCCAGCAGCCACAAGGCGGGGAAGAGTATGGCCTGGTTTAAGCCCACCAGTGTCTTCGGGTGTCCAGAGTTCATGCTGACTCCCCCAAACCTGTGAGTCTGGCACTTGCCATGACTCTGCTCAGCTCGCCACACCCTAGAGGATGCTGGACCTTCATGACAGACGAGACTAACCTCCCAAGAGGGAGGCCTGGCTTCGGAGGGAGTCATGGAGGAAGATGGAGCATCCCTAGGGCAGGGCGGGAGGGGAGGCTGGTGGGAAACGCTGAGAGCCGGGATCCCGAGCAAGGGTCTTCTTGACTCCAGGCCTTAGGCTCTGGAGTTTTCTGTGGCCTCAAGACTAAATGTTGCCCCACCCACCCAGCAGTAGGCCTCTTCCCATCGCCCTTTGACTCAGGCCTCACTCCAGCAGGGAGTTACCTGTCATTCCTACTGCTGCCAGATGATTGAGGAGGGCCTCGTCAGGACTGACCCTCCTTCTCCCACAGATTCCCTACCCGCCTGGGCAGAGCAGGGCATCCGGGATGGAAGAGACTCTAAGGTTTCTCAGACAGCCAGGCCTGGACAGACAGGCCTGGAGACATTCAAACCCCCTCACCCCAACAGGGGAGGACGGGAGGCCCAGGAGGCCCCATGTGGTCTACCTCCTGTCTCCTCACCCATTTTCCCATCACAGTCTCAGTGGTCTCCATGGTAATCCTGCAGGGTCAGCCTCCCCTGGGGAGGTGGGCCCCACCTCAGCTCGCCCACTACCTAGATTGTGGGCGGCCACATGCCTACCACACCCCTCTCCAGGGCCCAGGGCTGCCCCCCTCCATCTGTTCAGCTCCCACTGCCCCCCCCCAGAGGGCTGCACTGCAGGTTGGAACTTTAGAGGGACTTCAGAGGGCCAAGGAGAAGCATGCCTTGGGCTCAAAGAGGACATTTTTAGAGAAAGGAGGCTAAGTTTTGAGAAGTGGTGGCAAAGGGGGTGGGGACTTGCCAGCCAGCCCCCTGGGCATGTACTGTCTTTATTTTTAAAACCACTAAAGTGCAAGACGTATGCACTTTTCTCCACTTTTTTTTTTTTTCTCCTAGGTTTTTGATTCTTTTTATAAACATACTTTCTTGGTTTTCTAATGGAGTTACTGTTTAGCCATTGTCACTCTCCTTCTCTAACTCCTCTCTCTGGACAGGGAAAGGGAAGGTGGGGAGTGTCAGCCTCCTGTGCCATTCCCCTTCCCAACTTCTCTGGTCCCCCACCACCACCCTGAGTCTCTCAAATCTCCCACTGCCACCGCCCGCCCGCCATCACCACCACACAGTAGCCCACACGGATAGACAGTTGTCAGACAAGATTCCTTCAGATTCCGAGTTGCCTACCGGTTTTTTTTTTCTTTTTTGAAGACAGCAATAACCACCACACATATTACTGTAGCTCTCTAGTCTTACGTACATACATATCATAGCTCTATTCTATCTCCCTTTGTTTTGTTTTAGACTTTTTTTTTAAATAAATGCTCATAATCTTTACTGGTGAAAAAGGATGAAAAAATAAATTGACAAATAAAACCAGTTTGTGGGAAAAAAAAAAAAAGGAGAAAAAAAAAAATCACCTGAATGCAGAGGGGCCCGCCTCCTGTCTAGCATTTTGTACCTGAGGAAATAAAAAAAAAAAAAAAAAAAAGCCAGAGGATCTCACGTTTTATTAAAAAAGTGAAGATTGCTGTATACTATTTATTCAACGTATAATTTATGTTACTCCTTGATCTTTGTCTTTTGTCATGACAAAGCATTTATTTAATAAAGTTATGCATTCAGTTAGCCTGCGTCAGCGTCCTCCGAGGGCCCAGGGAAGGCAGGTGAAGGGCGAGAGGCACGCGGGGGTCAACTCAGGCCACACTCCAGAGGGGCAAGGAGAACAGACCAGGCAGAGGCAAGGTCGAGGGGAGCCCCCAGTCCACGCCTCCCATGCAAACCTGGGTGCCCCCCTCTCCGTGCTTTCAAAATAGTCCGGGGAGTTAACATACACAGTGCGCTTAGGGCAGCGAGGGGCCCATGCAGGCTCCGCGCCTGCTTTCTCTACCATCCCCCACACCTGAATCCCAGCCCTTGCTGTTCAGTCAAGTGGCCTTAATCTACCCTTTAGCCCGTGATGGGTCTCCTTTCCTTGGAGAGGATTTTCAGGAAGGCGTTTCTAGAATGTGCCTCAGTTGCTTCTTCTAGTGCCTCCTAAGCTCTTAACGCCTGGGAACCTCTGGCCAGTGTGAACCCTAGCTCCTGCTCCTACCCAGCCCCTGGTCGCCTGCCCAGTGAGGAAGAAAGCTGTAAAACGGTTAGCGACTCTTTCACCTTCCAGCCATTGTACTACGTTCTGCCTTTCCTTCCTCCCGGGCACCTTGTTTCCAAACTCCATATGCCCCCTTCATGTGTGGGGCGCACGGCAGCACACTGCCCTTTATGCCTCCCCCACCACCCCTACAGCACCCCACAGGGCCTCCCAGTCATCGGGCCCAGCACAGAGACAGAGTTGGTGACGACCCCATTCTGCCCAGCCCAAACCCAGGACCCCGCCCCATCCGAGGCATGTGGCCAGTGGAGGAATTGGG